GACCCTGCATGTAAAGAAAGACAAACTATCGATTTTTAAATTTAAACCTCCTGTGTAACTGTTTGGCCTGATGAGAAGTTACTGAAAGCGTTCGCTCGCCGAAATTGTGTTCTGAATTATCTAATGGGATGTATGACTATAAATACTGCACCTAGACCACACAGATAACATACAACTGATCTTAAGACACAAGTGTGAAAAAGCTGACTTACCTGTATGTTATAAGACCCCAGTTTTCCATTGCACCGCTGCCGAAGTCGGGAAGCGCGACAAGATCACATTTCGGCAGAGGAAATTTTTGACCAAAAAGGTTAGCGTAGAAAGGTAACGTTTTTGCGGTAACTTCTAGAGCGAATTGTCCGCATGCCTTTTTCCCGGGAGGTGTAAAGACGCGAATATCAACTCCATTAGCGTCCTTCGTGGAAACATGGTCGAATTTTCCAACGACCATTGCCACTAAGTACGTGGACATGTAGGGCGATTTGTCAAATTGTACTTTTACGTAATTGTGACCCTCTGGAAGCGCAGGACGACCGGTGGGTGGGGCGATTATTTTTCTCGATACTTCGGGCTGCACGAGTTTAGATGGAGAATGTTGAACAAGTTAATAGGGATATCTAAAACGTCCATTTAATTAATTTATGCTCCAAAACTATGAAAACGTATGCAATATTTCCTGCACAAATTACAGAAAACGATTTTATGTTCATAAGAGTCTCCAGAGGAGAGCTCAAATCTTTAGGTAATAAAATGTAGATACCATATTCGACAAAGCGACTTCGTTGTCCATGGTAACAAGGCTGATGTCAAAAGTGGCCTTTCGATCCGGTTCATCCATACATGGAAACGCCCGGCGAGCATAAATAGACTATAAATAAAAAAAAAATGGAAACTGATCAGCCCAAGTTGTGAAAACTTGCTACACAACAGGCAGTTTGCGCAACGACTGGCGAATTTTAAAGGAGTCCTTATTTGCCTTTTGAAGTCGGGACTGAGGAACGACGATTAAACGCGATCACACAGGTAAATATTTGAGAAAGAAAGATTGC